GGATTGGGCTCTAGGGAAAGAGCATTCAGTTCTTCTCAGAAGGTCAGAGTTGAAGACATTTGTGGACTTACATGCAAATGAGGTTTCATCCTAATATCTTCTCTCTGAACTAACTTGATCATAAGTGTGAAATTAATGGCTAAATATCCATATGCAGGCAGGGAAGGGTGGAGAATTGTCACATCATGAAACTTCTATAATCACAGGTGCTATGGATTTGACTCAGAAGACAGCTAAAGATGCCATGACACCCATATCTGAAACTTTCTCTCTCGATATAAATTCAAAACTTGACATGTAATATAATATTGTCATAACTCAACTTTGAAATCATATATATAAATATTTTTCTCCCAATCTCTCATGTATAAATCCAGTTCACCTTTGTCGATCATCAGGCATACAATGACACAAATAATGAGCAAAGGTCACAGTCGAATACCTATACATTCTGGACACCCAAGAAATATTATTGGCCTCATATTGGTAAGCAATTGAAGAAGCACATATGAAAAATAGAAATGTATTCAAGTATTTTCTGCAATAAATCTTGAATATATAACTAGGGGAGTATGTATTGTCATTATGAACATTCCAATTGATGAAGGTTAAAAAGAAAGTTTGCATTTGACATTTGAGAAAATGTAGTTACTTGCAGTACCTTAGCTTATGTTTCTCAACATTGCTTAATGATACTCTGTATTCATATGGTATTACTATGAATTCTTTTGCAAAGGTTAAAAATTTGATGTTTTGCCGCCCAGAAGATGAGACACCAATAAAGAATTTGATTATTAGGAAAATTCCAAGGTAATAGAACTAACTTGACAGGAATTTTATGCCATCAGATATTGTGTCTGACTGGATACAAGTTTAAAAGAACTTTTGATAGTTATTTTTTTTTTCAATAAATTTTTTTTAGAAGTACTTCTAACTTGTATCTAAAAAGACTTATACTCTTATTTCCATATATATTGATGTTTAAGATTAATGTACATAAATTAAGGAGTATTTAATGGATGCAAAATATTAATGTATCCGGACTAAAATGTGTATTTAATGTCACTTTACATCTGATAAATTACTTTTGTAGCAATGGAAAAACTATAATATGTTTTCCCTCCAAAAAAAAAAAAAGAAGGCTAAAGCATTAATAGATATGGAAGGGAGGTTGTATTACAAATGATTACAGTAGTCACTACTATGCTAACTACATGATATTGCTTATTTAATAATTGTGTGACAGGGTTTATGAAAGTTGGCCACTATATGAAATATTGAATCAATTCCAGAAGGGTCACAGCCATATGGCTATTGTCTTGGAATCCAACAAAGACACAGAGAGCACTACAGTTCATGCTGTCGGTGCACCTACCTTTTTGAATATAATTACTCATAAAAAATCAAACCCAGCTCAAGTTGCTGGAGGTAAAATCTTACAGAATTTAGCCATGGTATCAAATCAAAGCACTTTATTTAAGATGAATAGCAAAACAAAAGTAGAAAAAATTTAGTTTCTTGGAAGAGGATAAATCACTTATGTTACTCAATCTGGGATCTGCAGAATCTGATTCATCCTTTGTCCTGGAAATAAGTCAGAGAAGTTCAGTTCATGAATCTGGTTTAAACTCTAGCGACGCGGAATTTCATAGTCCAACATTAAAAAATATGATGGAACTAGAAAGTGAAGCAGTGGAACAAGAAAATGGAGATTTCTCACAAGAACAAGTAGAGTCTCTTCCGGATGTTATAGATGAGGAAGTTATTGGCATCATCACAATGGAAGATGTCATGGAGGAACTGTTACAGGTTAGAATGGTGGTTTATCATTTATGCAATAACTTTGTTTTTCTAATCTTATGTCAATAGGGCAGAATACTTCATATTCCTATTTGTGAAAACCATATAACATTTCTTTCTTTTAGTGATGATAACACACATGGTTATGTTACTTTAGGAGAAATATGGGAAGCTGGGTTAAGATTACTTCTATTAAGACCTTAATCTCATTACTAACAAGATGTAACACAGTTAGTAGATAGCTAGTTCCTTAAATATGTGATAAGAGTTTGATTCTTTGGTCGTGAGTATGAAACAAACTTGTTTAGAGACATAACTCATTTCAGTGATTTTTAGTCTTGAATGGAGTTAATATCTGACTATCGGTTGGAGAATATCTTTGATGAAAATAACAAAAAAACCTTATTCAGGTTTAATATTTTGAATGTTTGAACGACCAACTAATTTAGTTGACCCTTAGGAGTTTAGTGAAATGTTTCATCATTTTTTGAAATATCAAGCTTCTGGTGTTTTCCATTATTGACACCACTAGAACTCATCTTTTTTCCATGCTGATTGCAATCTATTTTTTCCTTTTCAAGGGAGACATACTGGATGAAACTGATGAATATGTTCATGTTCAAAAGAAGTGAGTAAATTTACCTTGAATTTCAAATAGCTACCTTGTCCATTTCACTTTACCCTCAATAAATTGATAGCAATTAACGAATTCCATGCTTCAATTTTTCTTATTTTCAGCATTAGAATTAACCTGCTGCAATCACTAAGGTCACAATCAAGATCATCAAGGAGGGCTTCTGGTTCTGGTCATCGTTAAAGAACTTTCTAACTATTTATTTGGTTACAACATCATGATTTTGATTTTCTAGGTATCAACAGAATATAATTCAAATACGTTAACAGTGAAAATATCTTGAATATTCTCAATCATTCATGAATTGTCGTATAAAATTGTTTATTTTTATAATAATTACTATAAAAGTAATTTAATGTAAAAAGTATTTAAACTTACAATATATGACTCGTATAAATGACTGCAAATAGTATATTTTTTTGTTGAGTTCCAAAGAATTATTATTATTATTATTATTATTTATTTAAATATTGTTATTTTTTATTATTTTTGTTTTTGACTCTTTTTAAAGTTAAATATATGAAAAAAAATCTTAAATTTTTATTGTATGTAAAAAATTCACGAAATTTTACAAAGTCTCGCAAAATTCATTAAAATTTCGACTTAAAAATCTTGCAAAATTTTGATTAAAATCTTGTAAAATTTTGTAGTCTTAAAAGTGATGAAAATCTTATAAAATTTTTTAAAATTTGTAGAATTTTTTTTTAAATAAAAAAATTCTTTAAAATTTTAATTCAATATATCCCCTAAGTTTCAAGTAACAGTTAGACATAAGAAATTTATGAGTCACAGAACAATGACTATAAAATGCAGAGAATATATTCAAATAATAAATTAGAAAACAAAGGGCCGTCCATAAGTCACAGAGACTTGTAAGCAAGCATAACAATATTGGGTATAAAAAATCAAAGAAGTTAAAGATACTAAAACGGTGGATTTTAGATTCATAGAGTCCATGTTCGTCAATTAACGGTTCAATTCACATAGGAAATTAAAATTGCATAAATTTAAAATTCAGTAAATTAGAATTGCGTAATTAAAAAAAGAATAAAAATTACAACTAGGAAATCATAGAATAAATTTAAAATTCAGTAAATTAAAATTGCGTAATTAAAAAAAGAATAAAAAATTACAACTAGGAAATCATAGAGGAGTAAAAGAGCAAATCTCGCCTAACAATTTCTTGAATTACATGATAAAAATAAAATAATTACCTATCAAACGAATTATTTCCATTTTCTCCTACCTTCTTCAATTCGACAAATCAATTCATTTTTACCGTAAAAAACAAATAAACTTATTAATTTTAGACCAAATTGGATCAATCAGATTAAAAATTTAATTACTTTTATTTGTGTTTTATCTGAAAAATGTATTAGAGATAAGTTAGCGACTGTCCAAAGTCAGCGTATTCAATGGAAGATTTCTTTGTTCCAAGTTGAATATTTGATACTTGTTTTTTTTGGCCTTCGTAAGTCTAGAATTTTTGGGACCTTGTAAGAATTTGTCTGATAATAAATGTGGTTTTTAATATTCAATCATTGTTATTAATAATTAAATTTTATGTTAGATATGAATTTCAAGACCAAATGTCAAGTTGTTTTCTGAGTAAGGATACGATTGGTCAGTGAAATACTCAACCAAACTCTCTTGATTAGGCTCCCTTGTAAGGGTCCTCTTGTCAAGCCTTATCGATCGACTAAAGGTTAAGAAGATACATTTACCCACTAACCTCAAGTATAAAAGATATAAAGTTTAAATCGGAGTATTCTTTTGGTTTCATGTTGGGAAGGTAGGGCACCATATCTTAGTAATCAATCATGATTATTTATAACTAAATTTTGTGTTAGATATAGATTTTTAGTCATTATTATGCCAAGTTCCTTTGACGGTGTTAGGCTATTCGGCCCAGTGGCCTTCTAGGCAAAATGTTAGGAAGGTAATAGAATCATGAGACATGACAAAAATCTTATTTTTTGTTATTTAGTAAGTTACGAGATAATTTTTTTTTGTCTCGAGTACAAAAGCACTCATTAATACAAACACTACTTCAAGCTTTACTATCGTTGCCCAACATCATCAATAGTGTTGCTTAGCATTGTTGTTGAATTCTACCCTCACCACCATAACTTTATTATTATTATTATCGTTATTATCATTATTAATAATAATATTATTGTTGTTATTACAATTCTTAACATTATCATTCTTATTAGAATAATAATAATAATAATAATAATAATAATAATTTTTTGTTAATTATGATAATTAATAGTATTACAAAGAATATTGTAATATATTTAATATTATTTTATTTGTTATAGTCTATTATTTATCAAACAATATACAAAAGCAAAAAAATTATTGAATATCTTAAGCATTTTTTCTTATCGTGTGTCTTAATGTGTATGAATTTGAATTGCATCCTAATTATAATTAGATTAATTAGAATAACCCAAACCAAACTATGGGTTTTTATTTAAATATTTTTCTTTAAAAATGTTTCTCTTTAATAAACATAAACACTCTTTTTAATTGTTGGTCTAAACCTATTTTAAAAAAAAAATAGAATGATACCTATGCATTTGCACAGTTACTTTCCATTTTGCAATAACGAAATTCACCACTTCACTTACTATATCACTTATCACACAATACACATTCACACAAAATGCAATAAACATGAACCACAATTGGCATATGCATCTAGTACTAGTCAAATATATATATATATATATATAATAATAAATATAAGAGGTTATTATAAAATAAAATTTTAAATTAAATATAAATTTAAGAACAAATTTAGATGTAGTTCTTTAAATATATTTGTTATTGTACACGATTCAAATCTTTTATATAGAATATCAAATAAATAATGTTGGAAGAAAAATACACTTGTATGTAATTACTATTCTAACAAAGATTAATCACTATTATTTCTAGTCATAAATATTTCGTAGTTATACTATGATTATCTATAATTAATATACATATATATATATATATATATATAATTGTATTGATTTGTTGATTCACATTATGCATGTCACGCAAGACTTTAATGCAATATCTTGTTATCTCTATGCATATTCTCAATGATATGGCAACATCAATCCATTCACAACATTCATCCATTTCATCATCACAAAGTCATGCTCTATTCATCATACTTAATCATATTAATATGTTGTATCCCGAACTCATAAATATAACTCATCTTAAGCAATGAAGGTGATAAAAAGGGAGAAAAAACAAGAAAAGAATAAGAAAAAGAAGTAACAAGGTGTGTCACAATACGCCCATGACTAGCTCGATGTTTCTAAAAGTTCAAGGTTAGGATGTGTCACAATTGCGAGACTCACCAATTACACTCGTAACATTGGTCATGCCCATGACTTACCAGTCATAATCTTGACTCATCAATCACACTTGTGACAAAAATTCGACAGATACAAACTTCGATTATTCAACCTTGTGTTTCATCTCATCACCAAATTTCACAAAAAATGGCCATCAATTGATAGAATCATAGATTAAAAGTCAAAAACCATCTATTAAGTCATAATTACATATTCCCACGTACTCATCTCAATTATCTCATATTGACTCTATACGTTCATTCGTTGGGATTTACAAAGGAATCCATGGACAATCCAAGATTCATAAGATTAATTTGATTCATGAAATTAAACATACATATACATTTTAGACATTAATTAGAGCATTGAAGAATCATATGAAAGAGAAAAAAACATAGCACAAGTCACAAATTGGAATTTTCTCCTTCATACGACGTATACAACAAAAAAGAGATTGAGATCAATCTCACTATCCAATAGTTATCTCACGCCTAGAGTGAGATTAATAATTATCCTTTACCTTGGTGAATACTAGTTGAAGGACGTGGATCTCCAAGGTGATCTCCTATGAGCATTCTTCCAATCTTACTTTTTTTTCATATCACGGGTTTTGCTGATCACCAACTCTTCTTCAAATGTCTTCTTTCATTTCTCCGAGAAGTGTGTGTGGACATGGGTTATCAATCTTGTGATGGCCACAGATCAATCATCTTTGGGTGGAAATTTTCTTGGCATATCTTTCAAGTAATTAATACTACGTGTAAGTTACTTTGCTACGTTTTTGCCTTCTTTGGCGTATTTGGATACAAGCTTACAATGCTTCTGAGAGTTTCTCTATTGAAAAATACACTTGTTTTTGGTGGAAAATCTCTTTAAAATACTTCTAACTTGTATCCAAACAAATTTTTTTTGCCTTATGCTTTATGTTATTTGTAACATTTCAAATGTTTGCTTGTTCTTAATCTTTATGGTTTAAATTCCATTTCAAAATATTCATTTAAGAAAATGTTTCGATATAATTTTGTTAAAGGTAATGATTTTTTTTCTAGTATAAATGTTCTTAAAAGTGCTCATAACTTGTAAATTGTTTCAGTACTGAGGACCACTTTTGAAAAACCCTTAGTAATATAGTGCTAAAAGAATCTATTAGCAATCCTGGCCTAGAACATTCAATAAATGTAACCTCATTCTCTCTAGACTTAACCGCCCTCTATATATAGGTATGAAATTATAAACACAAATCTCACGTTTATAGTTATATTCCGTAGATTGCATGTGCCATATTATTATTGTCATTAATAGGCCCATGATTCCAATATTTATGGTTGTTATCTTAGCCATTCTGAGAATTGTGGGATCTTACTATAGACTGTTAGGATGGGGGAAGTAGGTCACCACACCCAAGGCTAGCTACATGCTTGAGAAACTTTTGGACAAAAAGGAGAATAATTTCGTCACATGTTCGATTGTGTTGATGTTAAGAAAATAACCATTTGAGAGAGGGGTCCAGTCATCCTATGACCGATCCTCCTAGTGATTGCTTGAGAGATCACCTTGGTACATAACAATCCATGTTGGAACACTAAAGCGCATAGTCTATGATCTCATTGGATCAACATTTTGATATTGCACCTTGGGTGGGTCGGAAGGAGATTACTATGGTCTATGTTCTCATTGGATTGACATTTTGATGATACACTTCAAGTCAATCAGAAAGAGACTACTACAGTCTATTCTTGTTAGATCGACATTTTGATGATGCATTTTGGGTCGACTGAAAGGAAACTACTATGATCTAAATTCTTATTGGATCGCAATTTTGATGATGTGATTCGGGTCGATCCTCGGGAGACTACCACAATACAAAGCTCTCTTAGCTCAAGCATGAAGGTGTGAAGAGTCTATGTTGTATCGACATTTGAT